GGTCTTGAATATCTCCAGAGAAGGAGACTCCACAACCTCCCTGGGCAGCCTGTTCCAGTGCTCCGTCACCCTCAGAGGGAAGAAATTCTTCCTCATGTTCAGACGGAACTTCCTGTGCTTCAGTTTGTGCAATGAAGCAAAACTATGAGATGAGTGTTAATAAACCATTTAATGAATAACTCGGTCTTCATTTTAACTCAGAAAAGCCAGAGTAACTCCTGCAATGTTACTGGGGCTGCACTGTCTATACAAGAAAGCACCTACAGGAGTATTTTGTCTCATCATTGCCTAAACATTACAAGTGATTTTATAATTGCTTTCTGCCACTCACAAAAGCAATGGGTGTGGAACTGGATTATTAATACTTTAAAGATATGAAATCAGACGCAGCACTCAGAATGCTCTTCCACTACGTGTTCAGTTGTGGAAGAGAAATGATTAGGGTAAGACTGTAGGAGCAACTGTGACACAGAAAGGTTTTACCACTAAAGGAGAGCAGCGCAGTCTCCACTCTTAGCAGTAATTCCCTTCCCCATTTGCACCATGTCCTTTCTACTTTCCAGAAACCCTGGTTCCTCACAAACATTGACTGCTGTGAAGTCAGCATTTCTGCCTGTCACAGCCAAAACATGACACACATGCCCTATAGCTAAACTGCCAAGGAGAAGAGGGAGAAGTGTAGAGTGGTGTGGGCTTTATATCATTGCCCTTTGGGTAGGAAGTTAGAAGAATGTAATTCCTCTGCTCTCCTTGAAGAATGTGAGATGTTGATCTCAAGTTGTGTAGAAAGTCCACCCAGAACAGGGAGGAAGGTTGCCTCTTCCTGACAGATGGAGTGTTGCCATGCCAGCTCTCACTGGAGTTCATTGTCAATTGGGTCTGCACCCACAGGCAACTGTGCTGGTGAAGATATTCAAAACCATTACAGTTTCTTAAGATCTCATGTGTCTCATGTGCCCTCTGTCAGAGTGAGTGGAACAAAAAGTAATCCTGAAAGCCCTACTCAATGGCTTCAGCAAAGCCAAGAAATACTCTCAGTATTTGATCTTGGTTCTCCAAGACCAAAGCTCCAAGAATACGTTTATATCTTAATATTAAAGCACAATGATAATTCCATTAACTGAACTAACGTCAATGTTTCGACTGATTTTCTTCCTTTTGCAGAGCCCTTTACATTTGGTGGGGACACAGCAACCCACGGCACCATTCCGGGTCCAGTATAAATGCCGGGAATGAAAGCTGCCCAGCACTAACTTACTTTCTTTTGCCATCCACCCCTGGATGGATGGACCACTGAGCTGCTTCCCTGTCCTACATCGTCAGATCGTTTCTCTGCCTTAACAGTTCTTGATTTCAACTTCAAATGCAACTTCATACTCTGCACTGTGGTATGCCATACCAGCATAGTCGTACCTCTGCTCCTCACCTGGTTGCCTACCTCCTAGCATGTAAAAATCAAGCTCTCCTGCTGTGTTGATAATTTGTGGGCCAAATTATTCACAGACTTTGCAAATCTAATATACTAAACTCACCAACCAGACATTCAGGACAATAAGCTGCTACGTTTGGAAATCCTTCATGGAAGTTGTGCTAGAACCAATGGAAAAGCAGGTCCCTTGGGCCAGGTCAGTGCTCCCTGCACGTCTCTCTGAACCAAGGCCAAAGCAGTGCCTCCTGCTAAGAGATCAGATTGGTAACTCCATACGCTCCCTGGTGCTGGGGTGCACAAAATACAGGACAGCGATGAGCAGAGACCTCCGGATCAGATCCGCAGCCACGATAAACTAGCATCACTTATGTATCACTGACTGTGTAGGTAGGTGAAGATCTGGCCTGCTCTGCCTACAAACAGTGACAACTTTTTGCAAATAAAAGACATTTGTAACGGAAAAATTGCAAGCATGGGCAACACTGGGGTTTTGTTCCACTGAAGCACCTAAAATTTCTACTGAGCTTTATTTGCTCCACAGGATTCAGAATCGGTCCTTGCACGAATATGCAATGAAAGTTTGATCGTGATGTTTGGCTTCTAATGAAAAGTGATCGCAAGAAAAGCCATCGCTGTTCGTTAGACTGGTGGTCTAATATCGAGAACATTTTTGCTTTCCCTTTAACGTGCCTTACTTATAGAACAACTTGCATACATCTAAAAATATTTAATCTTATAGAGAATACCTAGTAGAAGTTGTTCAAAGAAGCTGCCAAATAAGTTCAGATACTGACACTTTAACTGCTGTCAGATTTCATATATGATAATAGCTGGCATGTATTTTTAGTCTTTTAAGTAAAGATTATTCCTCATTTTAGAAGTATTTGCAAAAAAACACAAATGGACTTTCAGCAACAGTAAAAACTATGAGAATAACATCCATAGGAAAATAACACATTGTATAATTCATTAGATGGTCGGCTTAGCTCAGTTATGGATAGAAGAATTTAACAAACTTTAGTGATTTATATGACTGGAAAATAATTCCTCCAACTTCTAATTTAGCTCATAGTAGTTAACTCTGCAAGAGTTGCACTCCCAACTGCTGTTTCAGAATCTCTCCCATAACTGAAAACTATTCCCTTGGTTTTCATGTGTGGTCATTACACAGAAGCATGTATTTTAATTTTAAAATTTAGGAATGTCCACAGTATCTGTTCAGGTATCTTGCAGTTTTGCGAAGATAACTTTTTTTCCTGATGTGCATTACATTTTATTTTGCTGTTTAATTAATTCTGGGTTTGGGGTTTTTTTGTATGTGTGTGGTTTTGTTTTGGTTGAGTTTTTTTTCCCAAGTGGTAACTCAAAAAAGCAAAATTCTGTAATGGCAAAATTGACTTTAAACTAAAAAGGTCCCTAAAGGAAAACCTGAAGGTCAGCATCAGTTTGATTAGAATGAATGGAAGGCACCTGACGCCAGCTAAAACTGTGAATATTTACTAACGAACCATGCACATGCGTTCCAATCTGTCCTAAAAATGAGCACAATGCTGGTGTAGTTTCTGCATATTACAGAGTTTTTCAGACTTGGTGTGGTCTTGTGCCTGGTGAGAACCACAATCTGCTTCCTTCCACATCCTGCAAGAACAGTCTGTGGACTATGTTAGGGCATGTGATAAAACCCACATTCCCACACACGCACGGAGAAGCGGACCAAAAGGGAAGAGGACCAAAAGCAGCAGTGCCCTGCCTGACACCTCCCAGGGCTGGCTATGTCCTGGGGTGACACCCAGCAGCGGCAAGGGAGCAGCTCCCACCTTTTGGGCTGAGGGGGGAACACCGCCTGCAGATGTGGGACACACTGTGGGATGCAGGGGAGGAGCAGCTTGCGTTTGCACAAGACTTCTTATGGGAAGTTTAGGAGGGGAACAAAAGGTGGGGAAAGGGAGGGATCAAGGTGGGCTGGGGAGGAACAAATGTGATAAAAAAGAGGGATAAGGAGATGCAAGAGGCTAGTTGCATGTAAAACAGGCTGCTGACCAGTATGCTGTTCTGGCTGTGCCCTGTGCCTGGTCAGTGCAGTCTGTCCTGACTTCTTACTCTCCATTTTCAAATCTTTTCCTGCGTGATGGTCTCTCTTGTGTGTGTACGTGTGGGTATGCGGGTGTGAGTGCAGCAACTGGAGTGGGACCATGGGTCAGAGGGCCCGTAGGTCCGTGGTGCCAGCAGTTGGAGGGAGCATGGGTGTGCATACTGTGTGGCTGTGTCACGTCAGTGTGAGATCGCTAGGGAAAACCCAGCCAGGCTGGCTGGCGAGTAAGTGACGTGTGTTTCCCAGGGTGAGGAACCTGGAGGACCTGGCTCCCAGAGGGACCAGGGGGTTCAGGCCAGCTGCTGAAGAGCCCACGGGTTCTGGGGGTTGACTAAGACCTACTTGTACATGTGTGCATGTGTGTGTGTCTGGAGGTAGCCAGGAAGAGCGAGGATTCAGGACCAGCTACTGGAGGGATCTGCATCGTACATGTGTATTTTTACATATATTTCATGCTCACAGACTTTTCACCCTGCTAGACAGGGGAGCAGGACAAAGCTGCTGATGCTGCTTCTGTGAGTGCTGTTTCTGTCTGTGCTGGCCAGTGGGGCCATTGGTGCATACACACATTGTATGTGCATGTTTGTGCAGGTGCCTCCTGGAATCCATGCGCAGGCTCGCTGCGGGCTGCAGCCAGGGGCATGGAGCTGCGGCAGCCTCCCCTCTGTCAGGCTACCAGTTTTAGCAACTCCCTAGCAGGCTATAAACAGTCATGAAAACATTTGTCCTGAAAGGCAGGACATATTTTTATTAAAGTGTAGGCTTTTGGCAGGAAAGAAGTACCTGTTCTTGACAAGAGTGATACCAAACAAGCAGGTGAAGAAAAGCGAGCTGTGGAATCACATCACTGTGTGACTGCCCTGTAGTGGATGACAGCTCCGTGCACTTGCCACACCCTCCTAGGTAGAAAAAACCAAGCGAGGTGGATTAGTAAACCAACGTGGTGGTCAAGTGATAGAGCTAAATGGGGTCTTCTACCTGCAAGTAATTCATAGGCTTCTGGGGGAGGGAAAGACAGCACTTTCCCACTGGGACAGGGTTAAAGGTATTAAAAGGTCATCATGATACCCTACTCAGGAATGGATTAACAGTATCTAAATTATTCTTCTTCAAGTGTTTGTCCGGTCTGCTTTTAAGTACAGCAGTGCTGAAGTTCCAGGGGGGAATTGTCCTCTTGACTCTCCCTACTGTTAGAAAGCTTTTCTACGTAAGAGGAGTCAGAATGCAGTTTTTATTCATACTACCACCACAAGGGTAGTATCTCCTGTCCACAAGCAGATTTTTAACCCAAAAAGAAAAAAAAGAAAAAGTATTTTGACCTGTCTTTGTATTTCTACATTCTGAATGAAGTATGGATGTTAACGGGAGTACAGTGGGGCATCCCTCAAAAACCATCTTAGAAAATGCTGTTCCTCCTCCAGACATGCCATAGGCCAGATCTATCTGAGCAAAACCCGTGGTTTGGGCTAGCCAGGACTATATGTTGGTTTTCTGTTGAGATAAGTAACTCCCATGTCTAAGCCAGCAGAACAAATGGTAGGAGTCTTCTTAATGAGAGAGAAGAAATCTAGAGTTATGAAAAATGAGCAATAAAGCTCTTTTAAATCAAATTTCCTTCAACAATTTTTGGATTTTATTGTATATTAATGAAGACTTTCAGGAAAAAAAACCCACAGACACTATCACATTGGAGCCAAACCACTGTTGATACTTTTGAAGAAAGTATAAACATTTTCCTTGAAATCATAAATTTCCTGTGGAAAAATAATATTTGACAGAAAAGTCATCAAAGCATTTTGAGATAAAATTGTTGACCTACTGCAAGTGAATCTTCTCCAGTCAGCACGGTGAAAAGATAACCCACCCTATCAGCAGCCGCCTCCCAGAATAATCACAGCTTCTTTTATGTCTTCCCTCTAATGAGCCTCTCTGAAGGCCCCTCTCATCTCTACTTAGCAGTCAAGTATTTCAAGTGGTCTCTTTCTCTACATTAGTAATGGTATTCGGTATCTTTTCTGCGCCACTGATTGTCACAGAAACCAGAAGTTTAGGCTTAGCACGTATACCTCCTGAAAATAGATATCTGGGGACTAAAAGATATGGCTGTAGCCATTGAGAGGTAAGCTAAAAATAATGACTTGCTTTCAAAAGGAAATCAGTTCTAAGGCCCTAGCTCTGTGCTGTGCCTAAGCACTGTGCCAAGCAAAACTCAACTTAAGAATGTGTTTTGCTTTAAGCAAACACTTAAAAGGGATTTACAGAATAAGAATGGATTTCAATGTAAGCACACGCGTAAGTGCTTTGCAGAACCAGGGTCCAAATGCCTCAGTCACTGACCTGTTGTTTGCAGTTAGTCTTGGCATCTGTGTTGCAATTTTAAAGATATGCAAGGGTTAGTGGAAATACTGAGGTAGCTTTGCTCATTTTAGGTGAAACTGGCGAACATTAAGGACTTTCAGGAAAAATATTTTTTTTAAACGGTCACATTTATAGCATAAACCAGTAGGCTTTATTGGCAGCAAGCATCTTTCCCAGTTATTTGGTACATTCTAAACGTGTGGCTCATCACATGGCAAAAAATATTTCCTCTCCACCGGTATGCAGTGGAAGGGGAATCAGACACAAGGAAGGCATTCAAAAGATAGCACGCATTTAACTGAACCAACCAAGGAGAAGCTTTCATCATGCAGCCTTTCTGAATGACATTGGACATGC